GCCCGAACGGACGGCGGCGGCGCGCGCGTGTGTGGTGATTTTTGGGTCCAATTTTAAATGTAAATTAAAATTTTGAATTTAAAATTAAACATAAATTATAATTTTGAATTTGAATTTGTATTATAATTTTAAATTATATTGTGCCAACTTTAGATTTAAATTGATAGATTATGAGTACTGCTATTAGTACTGCATCAATAATTTTGGACCCCTATTTTTTAGCTTTTTTTTATTACAATAATAACCTCAAATGAAATTACTAAAAAGGGCATCAATAATTTTAGAACACCCCTATCTCACAATTGACCCACACACTCAATACATCATGAGTTAGGGTTTATGAGAGCACTCACCTCTATCACCATCCATCCATCCATTTTCTCCAAATTCTACCTTCAAAACCTACCCTGGTAATATTCCTGCGGTAATGGTAACAACCATTTAATTACCTACACTTCTTCGGCAATGACAATGAGTAGAAGTTTTACGGCAACCACAACTCCATGAGACGAGAAGAGATTCATAACTTTGATGATATTCTTAACTCAAAGGTGACTGGACTTATAAGGGTAAGTTTTTTTAAAAAAGAAAATGGCAAAAATAATAAAAATTGTTCACCATTTTTTTGGGAGTGAACTCTCGAATATATGACCGAAATTCAGAAACACAAACCCAAACATTGTTCTTTTGTTCGGGAACGGGTAACTAAACATTTCTTTTTTGTTCGGAAATAGGTAATCGAAACTCGTGGAGATCGCAAAACCCACAAAAGGGAAATTTTGAATCAATACCAAAAAACCCTATATTTATTTTCTCAAGTCGTGAACAAGTACATGGAGATAAAGTAATAATCACCTTCGTAGGTTTTGTTGGAGGTGTGCATTCAATTGAATTAGTGAAATATTTTTCACAAAGATAATTTTGGTATTATTTGTAAAAAAAAAAGAAATTTTAAGAGTTTTAGAATTTATAAGTAGGGATTCAAAATAATTAATGAGATACTAATAGCAACACTCTAGATTATTTACCATATTTATTAGTCCTCAAATTTAAATTTTAGAATAGATTAAATTACTTTCCTTTTAAAAAGGCATAACTCAAGAAATATTAAATATTTTTTAATACTTAAATGAGTGCTAGACAATAGAAATTATTTTAATTAATTTTAAAATCAAAAAATTAAAAATTTTAATTTGAGACCTTCGAATTATGAAAATACTTCTCACTGAAAATTTAATTTTAGCTTCAATGAGAAGTGAAGAATGAAATATTTTTCTATTGATCCACTCTTTACGATTTGAACTTTAAGATAATAATAATAATAAATCCATGTAACCAATTCCAAGCGATTGGAATTAAGACTTGTAAAAAAGTTTAGTCATATAAAAAAACTTATTAATAAAATTATCTTCTTGTTAAAAACTAGACTGAATTCTCCTCTCTCTCTCTCTCTCTCTCTCTCTCTCTCTCGTCCTTTTTGTTTTTAATAATGATTTTATGTACTTGAAATGCTTAAGGTAACGAAGGTACCTTGGGATCAAGTGAAACCGCATTGAGAGTCTTTAATTAATGGGCCTGATTTTCGTCTAGTTTATCATCGGATTGGACTGTGTTGTTGGCCCGTGGAGCTATCACGAGTCTCGTTTTGAAAATTTGAACTGTTTAATGTGTAAAATTCGTTGAGTACTATATGTCTATGAAAAATCACGTTAATCGGATATCGATAGTTATGTGATCAAAATAGTTTTTTTTATCAACCATTAATTTATTCACCGTCCATTTTTTTTATACAAAACTGATTTGATCACATAACTATCGATATCCGATCAACGTGATTTTTTTTAAGCGTATAGTACTCGACGAGTTCTACACATTGACAGTTCAAATTTTCAAAATGGGACCTGTGATGGGCTTCCATGGGCCCAACAGTACGATCCAGTCCGATGGCGGACTGAACCAAAGCCAGACCCTTAATTAAAATTGTCCTATTTAAAAAGAATTCAGAATTAAATATATTAAAGAAGTTAAATTTGAAAGTAATTGATATTCGATGGAGAAGTTTTAGACTATATTAATCAAATTAAGAGAGATAATATTAGATAAGTTGCTAACATTTTTCCAATATAAGAAACTCAATCAAATGTGAATGTAAAACAAGAAAATATATTGTGCCTGTAATGAAAAAGTAAAATATGAATAACAATTTTTTTATTTAAATTAGTTTAGCTTTGATAAAGCAGATGGAGAATAGAAAATTGAATTTGCAATATTCCATCCTGAACCATACATATCCTTTGCAAGCAAGCTTTTAAAAATGGTCTCAATTGCATACAAGCAAAACCCATCTCCACTAATGATGACACCCACACACCCCCTTTAATTAAAGATACAAAAATGAATGAAAATTCCTAGTTAATGACAATACTTTAATTTGCATTATTAGCATCAAGGCCATAACCATCATCATCATCATTGCAATAATTGCTTGTTATAATGAGCATCATGATTAATCAACCTCATGATTCACTAAAGTAGCACAGTATCACACTATATAACAATTAGACTAAGAAATTGACAAAACACAAATCATAGCATCAACAACATTTGCAATATGCTAAAGAGAGGTTCCATTACAATCTCCCTCTTTTCCAACTCTGCCGTGTTGGTTGGGTGGTGCCGGAGGCGGAGGAGGAGGCGGAAAGGTAGCACCGTGCGGCTAGGGAATAAGAGAAGAGGGTTCTGCCTTCGGTGTCGGCCGGTGGTGGTGAATTGGGGGGTGGTGGTGTGCCCTTTTCGAATGTTGAAGAAGTTTATCACGGAGGTTGTATCAAATGGAAGATTGATGGAGACATACTATTGGTCTTTACCCATTTTTCGTCCCCAGCTATTTCCTCTTTGTTAAGAGTGCTTAACAAGCACTTGTCTTCATGTAATTGTTACTTTTTATTCCTCTCTTCTTCTTTTTTATCTTTTTTTTCATGTCACAAGCAGTGTGTAAAAGACACTAGTGATTTTCTTTCAGATTCTCTCTATCATTGGAGGTAAGGTCTAGGCCAAACCAATGCAATATATCAATAATATAAAAAGAGTTATGTATATGAGTAATATTTGTTGTGTACATAATTATACAACTACACAAGTCGAAAGGAAAGAGTCGGGACAGAATTAAAAATGTCTTGCCTTTGAAATGTAGAATAAATTGCTCATGTTGTAATAATGGCCATTTTCATTGTTAAAATGGTAATTACAAAAAAATAATACTCACCACATGTAAAAATTGGAGTATCTTCTCAACTAACTTGATTAAGTAGGGATGACTCTGCTGGGAGAAAAATCAGCGGAAAGGAAATACTTGCTTTTATTTAGGTACTAAATCTGTATTTGATGAGTCTTACAAATTTTCAATGTAAATATTAAATTAACAATTATGCTATTGACATACATTATTCTATTGAGAAATCCTTGACATAATTGTAATTGTCTCGATTTTTGTCCTAATTTAATTTACCTTTCTCTATCATATTTTTTATTTTTATTTTAGGTTATTTCATATTAATGATTGAATTTTTCAAAAACAACCACAAATTTTTTCATTATTTAAATTTTCTTGTTTTAATTAATTCAAATTATCCTTTTACTAAAACAACTATAAATAGCAAGAACATATACGAGACTCATATTTATAATATAGGTAAGACCATCTTCAATGGTTATTCAGACTTGTCATCAAATTTAAATTTGGTAAAAAATTATTATTTTTTCTACTCCAGCTGTTTCATCAAATAGGTATTAAATTCAAAATTTCACTTTTCTTCAAACTGAGAATGAATGTGTCTTTCATCAAATTACTGTTCATAGCCATTTGATTTTCACTACCGAATATCTCCTCAAATGCCCCGCAGACGACCACCTCAAGGTAAAAATTTGTAAAAAAATTATACTGGCTGGTCGAACCCCCGGATGACCACTTGAAGGCAAAATTTTGTGAAAAATTTACACTGGCCAGTCGTCCGCCTGGTCGACCGGTGTTCTGATAAAGTTTCAAAATCTCCGTTGGAATACTTAATATCAAATGAAATTTTTACTTAAATTCGATGAAAAATTTAATACACTGTTAGAGATGCTCTAAGTAATTTAATTTTCATTTGTTTCTTCAAAATTTTAAATCTTGTAACTCAATTTTTTATATCCAAAATTTAAAAAGAAAAAAAAAAATCAACCCACTCATTCTATCATTAAAATAAAAATTAAAAAAAATTAAATTAAATTAACCGACTCATTCTATCATTAAACCAAAAAAAAATTAGTTAAGTATTAAATGTGATGATGATTCTTTAATAAAAGGATAATTCTATAATATAGTTTCGTAATTTCCAGTTCTAAATGTGACGATGATTCTTTAATAACATTGTTTTGGTACCCAAAAAAAAAAAATTTAATTAATTAATTAATGTGTAGAATGTGAAAGAAGATGAGAGGAGATGATAGAAAAAGTGAATAAAAACAGTTTTGAAGAAAATTATAAAACAAACCAATTTTAAATTTTGAGCTCCTCCAAAATTGTTTTCAAAATTAAACTAAACATGTGTTTTTTTAAAACTATATTTGGATGAGTAAAAAAATAAATAAATAATATATTAAGCGAAATTTCTTTTTATCCTTTGTATTTTACTAAGCAATCAATCAGTTTATTTGTCATCAAATTTCATCATTTTTTATGAGAAATAAAACCTATCAATTAAATAAAAGAGTGCTTGTCAATCAAAAAGAATAAAATAAAATAAAAGAGTTTTTTTATATCTTCTCATCATTTTTCACTACTACTCATTTAACTTAGAAATGTGGTTTTTTTTTTGTTTCCCTCTCTTTTTTATCATTTGTCCCCCAATCTCATACATAAGCCATTATCATTTGTCCCCCAATCTCATATATAAGCTACCACGAACCAGAAAACCTTTTGGAATAAAAAAAAGGAAAAAAAAAAAAAAAAAAACTAGAAATTTACAGGCCTGCAAAATCAATTTCTGGAAAACAAAGAGCTGCAAACAGACCACCTCATTCAGTGGCTAACATGTGGCAACAGTTTTACAAAATTCCCTTTCCATGAGAGTACAAAATATGAAGATGATTTTTAGGTTCTTAAGAACAACAAACAACAGCTTTCGCATCAGTTAAGGGAAGGTGTAAAAAAAAATCATCAAAATCCCTACAACACCTCCAAGAAGTCAATTCTTACGATCTCTATCTACAGCTGCACATGCAGGTGGAAAATACATCGTGGGGTATGTGACTATTTTTTCCCAAAGTAGGAAAATAACGTAGGTTGTTTATCACCTGCAGCACCAAGGTTTCCCTTTTTCTTAGGCGGACTTATTTGAGGCTTGTTAGTTTCCCCAATACAAGGCTTCATGTCAGCTGAAAATTCCTCGTACTCTCGCTTGATAGGCAGATTTGCAGCTGCTTTGTCAGAAAGTGTAGAAACATTAGGCTTTGATCCATCACTGGATTCTTCAGTGAGGGAAGGACAATCCACATCGTCTTCGGTCTCAGGTTCCTCTTTCAAGCTTTTACGCTGATTGGTCTTAATGGGCAATTTATGCATGCTTCCAACTTGTGGTTTTGACTCTTGTTCACTATTGGCTCCCTTCTTTGAAAAAAACTTTGAGATCGGATATGTTGCCTCAGACTTCAACTTGATCTGCAGAACATGGTCTAATGAGTACATGGTGGAGGGATAAAATTATGCAAAACTGCAGCAGCCAGCAATTTTATGGTTTTTCAACAAGTTGGCAGTCAAAATGGAAGCAGATGTTGAAGGAGAAATAATGCTAAGCTGAAAACTTAGACCAGACAACATGTTAGTGTTGGCACTCTTCAAATCAATCTACTATTATTGTATTGTCACACCACCATACACCAAATCATTAAGCTCTCCTCAAGCAAAGTCATGCAGGGAACAGGAAGTTCCCAGACCAAGGTTGAGCATGACTCAAATTAAATAAAAGCAATCGATTAGAGCATATGAAGTCATTCGATTGAAAGGCTCTGACTAGATTTTCCTGAATATCGAATGTGACAACTGACATAGGAGAGTTCGAGACACTGCAATCTGCAGTCTACCAGGTCTTCAAATTCAGTGCTGTGCAAATGTTCATTTCGGTCAACACATAATTCATTAAATACCTACTTATCAATTGTTTAACCTGACCTAAAGTCTACCTCATAAGGTTGTACCACATGCACAAGGCTACCCAATTGGAGCAGGTCTAGGAGAGATGGTAGGTAGACAACATTGCCCCACATTTTTGTGAAGAGGCTAATTCCCTTGACTCAAATCGAGCCACATTGTTGGGGGCAGAGAGCAATTTTCACAACCTCTAGATATCATGAACATTAATTATGTTGAAAAGTGGAAAGATAAGCCAGAGTACACACACCTCCTTAATGCACTCTGGTCCATCAAAAGAAGCCTTGCCTATTGCAGGTGTCACGGGGTACCACACCTGAAAATTGAAGTTTCAGTACCCAATAAAATTATGTTTAGCTCCTGTAAGCTGGTTAATCTAATGAAGTAGATCTAGAAGTAGCAGCTACTGTTTCTTATTTTCAAGAAGCTTTTACCAAATCTACCGCTTCATATGGTTTGAGTACTGTGTCAAATTTTGAAGATGAGGAACCAATTAGCCATGTCTCGGTTGATTCCTTGTCACCCAAAATAACAGGCATCCTGTCTGCAATAGCAGATTAAGTAAAACATTAGTAAAGAATTTTCAAATGTGCCACCGGGTGACATGGCACCAATGCCCATATTATGCAGGTCACAATTTCCCACTCGTATGAAAAATAAGGAATGAAAACTAGATAAAGGACTAAACAAAAATCACAAACAAGATTATAGCGATCCCGGTTTTCCCCGTCAAGTATTGTGTTCCTAACTCGGGTCTTGTGGTTGTTGTCGTCTTATTCTTGTTTCCATCCTTTAATTCCTTGAATTTGGGTTTTGGGATGTGTTGGGTAAGATTGGAACAGGTTGGTTGGGTGTTGAAACATATGGTTGCTGTCCAGATTTTTGTTCCTTCGCTCAAGCGAGACTTTTGTCGCTCGAGCGAGCCTTGTGTTTTGTGTCTCTTCGCTCAAGCGAGCTCTCTTGCGCTCGAGCGTGCGTTTGCGTCCAGTTTGGACCTATAGGTTGTCATTCTTGGCTCGAGCGAGCTTTCTTTTGCTCGAGCGAGCTTTCTTTTGCTCGAGCGAGCAAGCCCTATGTTTTGAGTTTCTTCGCTCGAGCGAGCGGTCCTACGCTCGAGCGTGCTTCTGGTTTCAGACCTGAAGCTTCGCATTGTTCGCTCGATTTGCGCTCGAGCGAGGTATTTTTGTGTCTGGTTACTCGAGCGACCAATCCTTCGCTTGAGCAAGCCTCGAGTATATCAGTTGTAGCAACGTGATTCTTCTTCACTTTTTCATCTCCTTTTTGCTTTAAACCCTAGATCGGCACACTCTCTCTCTAAAACACCCATTCTCTCTACAAATACTCTTGATCTATAGCTCTTCTATCCTAGTCTCTTTGTAAGAAAGTTGGAGCTTGGCTTGGGCTATCTTTTGATCCGAAAAATCTCACATTTGGAGCATCTTGGATTTTTTTCCTCATCTCCTTTGAGTTTCTCCATTTGAGGTAGGGATAATTACTCATTTTTATGAGCTTTAACATAGATGTTGGACATTTTGAATAAATGGTTAGAGTTGGGAAATTTGGGTGTTAGGGTTTTAAATGTTGAAATGTATAAAAGGGGGGTTTTGTTCCTTTTGAACTACACATGTGTATATGGGTCTTAAAATGGAGTTATTGATGTATAATGATGATATTTGGACCTTTGGGTCAATGTTGAAAAAAAGAGGAAAATGCCTTAGTTGGATTTAATTGGGTTATTTGTGTAATTAATGAAATTAATTATGGGAATATGAAATTGGATTGGAAATAATGAAATTGGAAAAGTATGAGGTAGAATGGTGTAGTTGGAATGATTAATCGCTCATCAATGGAAAGTGTTATTAATTTATCTGTTTGATACAATTTATTATCTATTTAGAAATAACTGTCTTGGGCTATCGGTGAAAGATGGTCTTGATTGTTGTAGAACATGCATGATGATTAGGTAAACTGAAACTAATCAATTTGAAATATGTCAGTGAACATGACGGCCTGAGTAAACCATTGTATATGTCATTTGATTAATCATTGTATATGATAATGTGCTTCAATACATTGTATATGTATCTTGCTTGAGAGGAGATAGGGGATGTACTCCATATGTGATTATAGCCATAACACATTGAATATGTGCATTAATTGATCATTGTATATGTTAAAGCCTTTAAATACATTGCATGTGTATCTTTGTTTGGGAGAATAAAGGGTTGTACTCCATGGTTTGGAAGGAGATAGGGGATGGACTCCATGAATAATTAAGTTGGCCGGAGTGTCCAGGGTGAAAGTTCCGAAATCTTAATTATGTTTGCATAACGTAAATGATTGCAGTATTGAAGTGTTAACAATATGAGTTGTAGTCTCATTTTGAGTTGATTATGATTGAAGTATTAATAATATGAGTTGTAGTCTCATTTTGAATTATTGATGGATTGCAGTATTAACAATATGAGTTGTAATCTCATTTTGAATTGTTGATGGCTTGATGTGTTAGTTTTACGAGTTATAGTCTCAATTGAATTACTTGGATAAATGAACCCTGTTAATAAAGTGAATTGGAAATAGGGATGAAACCGGATTGAAAGATGAATGCCAAAGTTGATGGGTTATAGATATGATGTTAATCGATGTACATGTGTTGAACATTTATCATATGCTAATGTTTTAGTTAATTCTCATATCATGTTTAGCATATCTCTACTGGGCGTTGACTCACCCTATATGGGACATCATTTTCAGGTACTGGAGATGTGCCGCCTCCAAGGACCTAGCTTGGGTGGTTTAGAGGCTGCAAGCTTCTTTTTGGTTGTTATGTTTATTTTGTATTACCTGTAATTCAAGCCAAGGGCTTTATATATAAAAGAGTTAGAACTCTTCCTTTGTTGTAATCAAGTATTGACTTAGAAAGTTATAAACTCATTGGGCACTTTATTATTTTGTAAACATTTGTAATTTATATGAAATACCCTTATGTAATATTAACGCTGATGTTTGGAACATACAATTTCATGTACGTTTTATGAATCTTATGAATGAATGGATTATGTCTTTACTTAGAGGGCGTTACAAGATAATGTGATCAACACCTTGAAACAATGTTAGTCCATCCATATCTTTGTTTTGGTAAGTGCAACTGAATTCACTCATAATCAGTTCCAGTAATGGCAGACCAAGGAATTTTGCCAGGAGGGAGACAAATTTATTTTGATTTTGGGGGACTATACACAAAACTATTTAGAGTTTTTATTGACCAAACTGCTAATTTCTTATACAAAATAAGGATGACCTTGTGCACAAGGCTCCCATTGTGAAATCCAATATGGACAACATATGTGTACGAATGCCTCCAAAAATATCTCCTTCCAAAAGAAATGATGGCATGGCAGTGACATCAGAAAGCACATGACTAACCATGTAAAGTGTTCAGACAGATTATGGGTGTGTTTAGTTTGTGTTTGTAAAGTAGTTTTTGAAATAAAAAGTACAAAAACTTGTTTGGTTGACTTTTTTCAAAAATTGTTTTGGAAAATTGTTTTGGGGAGAGAGTTTTAAAAAAAAGGAGACTTATTTATAAGTTCTTTTTCAGAAACTTATGGTAGGCTAAATCTTGTGTAATTTCTTACAGAGTCTCAAGTCCTATTTAAATAGGAATGTATTCTACAAGATCCTACATAAACGTAACGTGACGTGACACTTGCATAAACGTAACGTAACGTGACACACTTGCATAAACGTAACGTAACGTGACACCTACATAAACGTAACGTAACGTGTCACGTTACGTTTCACAAACTTAATGAGTTTTTATTTTTTTAAATTGAATGTGAAAGTGTTGCTAGTTTATGTTGGTGTCACATTACGTTTCATATAGGAAATTGAATGTTATCATAGATCATAGGTGTCGCGTTACGTTTATGTAGGTGTCACGTTACGTTACGTTTATATAGATATGATCTATGGTAACATTCAATTTCCTATATAGGAAATTGCATGTTATCATAGATCATATCTACATAAACGTGACGTGTAGGAAATTGAATGTTGCCACAGATCATAGGTATCACGTCACGTCACGTCACGTTTATGTAGATATGATCTATGATAACATGCAATTTCCTATTACCATAGATTATAGGTGTCACGTTACATTACATTTATATAGATATGATCTATGATAACATTCAATTTCCTATATATGATTTTACTATTATTTATGATATTAACAACTAATATTGAGGGTAAATATGTCAACAAACTTTCCACAGGACTTATGGGAACATAAGTTTTTTAGTATGACCATATGTACCATAAGACTCCCTAATAGGACTTATAAATAATTTTTCCTTAAAAAAAAGTTATTGATTTGATGTGTATGAGAGAGAGTGGTTTTGAAAAGTAGGTAACCAAACAAAATTTTGAGATTTTTTTTGAAAAAATTTGTTTGGTTTGATTACTCTTGAAAATTTGTTTGTAGAGAATTTTTTTCAAAAATTTTTCTGAAAAACAAACCAAACAAAGCCTATAACTGTAAAGTGTTCAGACAGATTAAATAACTAAAATACAGGCCATATGAATTGAACCTTAAAACATGACTAACCATGCAACCACTCTAAAGCTGGTGACGAGGAAGTTGTCACAATAGTGAATGTATAAAGAATCTCTTCTGCAGGTAAGTACAAATTAATTAGTGCGTAGTCCAAAGTGCACAAAATCCAGCATTATCCATTTAAATAGCAGTACAATTTGAAGTCGTAATATGCCAATTAGCTGTCTACATTCAACACCAAAAGAATGGGAATTGACAGCTGCAGATAGGGAGATACTATTTACTGAAACAGTTTTCAAGCTAAAACATAATTTTTCCACTAATATTATATGCCTAAATAGAGATGACCAAAACATCTACAATAAACAATGATCTGTCGCAACAGATATGCTAGCTCAAATGTGAATGCAAGAATGGTGGTTCACCTTCAGAGTTTTTCCAAGAATCATAAAGAGCAGCGAACACAAGGGGCCGACCATCCTTAAAATGAACGTAGTAAGGTTGCTTTTTAGACCCATCTTTTTTCCACTCGTAGAATCTGAACAGTATTCCATTCCCGTTACACATTGAACATTAGAAGCAAAACATAAATAACTGAGCTGCATACAACATACATATGTAGAAGTGCCATCTTACTGCAAACTGTTCACCTTGAATGATACAAAGAATTCTTAACTTTATGTACTTACGAACATAGAGAACTCCAGCCAGAAAAATAAACATATAATTAGGCATACGGCATTGAAAAGAAGAACCCCTTTTGTTACTATATATCAAATGTAAATACAGGGAAGTTGGTTATATGAGTGTGACAGGGTATGGGATGAATATGGTAAATGAACTACAATGACTAAATTGTCAGAATTTCATTCCAGATCAGCTCATCAGATTGCCTAAAATGAAACTAAATAAGCACCAGTGATCCCACGATTACCTTCTTTAAAGGTTGGCTAGAACACGACTGATATAGTAAACCGTGAAAGCTTATAGAAGATTGCTATACAGGAAGCAGAGCCATGTTTTAGACCAGGCCAATTATGATGGAGAATAGCAAAATATGATAATACACGCAAGATAATCTGATCTCCTGCTCAAGCCTCTTGTCTATAGTTCCTAACTTCTGATGTTCATTTAAGATTTTTTATTTCACTCTCCTTTCTCTCTAGATAAGCATGTTCATTTAGGATAAGAAAAGAATACATTCCCAGGTTAATGTCTTTCTAAGTTGAAAAAATCATAACAAAAGACTTTACATATCAAGAAAAAAATAAAAGACGCAATAAACACTTCAAAGACTCAAATGAAATGTTAAATGAGTTTTAAAATACAACATCTCCTTTTCTGAGCCCGCAGAGGAGCTCCGCCGTAGAGCCGGCCACGCTCTTCACCAAGAATTCGAACTCGCCTCTCGCCGCCGCCAGGGACAGCGGCGACGCGATGGCGAGAAACGAAGGCTTGGCGACGTCCGGCAGCCGGAGCTGGAGGTACTGGCCTGCGCGGGTGTAGGAATCGACGAGGTCAGGGGAGTCGGAGACGTCGATGGTGACGTGGAATAGGGACTCGGCCGCGGGGTGGACGACGGTGAGAGGTGCGGGAGTCCAAACGGTGCTGTCTTGGCGGACTGCGGCGGCGGAGATAGAGAATAGGCGGCGGGGGTGGTGGTGGCGGCGGATGAGGTTTAGGTGGCGGAGGATAGACATGGGAGGGTGGTGGTGATGGAGGGCATGGGAACGGAAGTGAGGAAGAGAGGGTGGTGTTAGAGAGAGAGTAATAGTAGTCATGTTTTATGTGACAGAGAGAGAGAGAGACTAGAGAACGCCGCCGCTAATGGAGGAGAGGTGGTGGTGATGGACTGCAGTCCATTAAAATGCGCAGGTTGCACGTTGTTAAGGTTGCTTAGATACACCCACGTGGCCTTATCTTTGTGATCCTGTAAGTTTGGAGGATAAGTTGTGGAAGGTACCCAATTAGGGTGTTTTAGGAAGGAGTAATGCGTGGTTGCTCGAAAGTCGAGCAGTTTGAATGCCTTGAGTGTTAAAACGATGTTATTTTATTTATTTATTTTTTTTGTCTTTTCTTCTTTTTCCTTCTTTGTTGAATTGGTTTGAGAGAAAGAGAGAGGTGAGAGGAAGAGAGAAGAGGCCACAACTTGATCGGCCGAAGTTTGATCCGTCATGGACGGAGAGGCTAAAGCTTGATCGGCCGAAGCTTGATCCGCCATGGACGGAGAGGGCGAAGCTTGATCTTCGGCTATGGGTCTTCGACTATGGTTTTTTTGATTTTTTTTAATTTTTTTTGGTGATTTTTTCAAGTTGGTTTATTAGTTTGAAATTATGTAAACATACTCAAGCTCTGATTTTTATGGGTCTACGATGATGTTTATCAAACTAATCGCAATTAATAATTAATATGATTATTTTTCAAGCTCTGATTTTTTCAAGCTTGAAATTAATTGTGGGTTTGAGGAGAGAGAGAGAGGGGCTGTGTGGATTCAAGATGTACAGGTTTACATTTTTGGATTCAAGATGGGAAGGGAGAAGAGTAATAAGAAGAGAGAGAGAAAGAATGAAGGAGAGAGAAGTCAACAAACCCAGGGAAAGAAGAAGAGAAAGAGTGAAGGAGAAGAAAAAGAATAAAAAAAGAATTCGAGCCATTCGGGCTCTTCCATTTCGAGCTATGTAGCGGGGTCATTTTTTTAATTTGTGTTTTGAGATGTTGTTTTTAAAATAAATTTTTCTAAAGAGTTTAAAAAATTTTAAATTTTATTTTGTTGTATATTTTTAAAATAATTTTAGAGTTTTGGCGTTTAGAATAATTTGATATTTTTTTATAGTTAAATAGATGGGTGTGAAATAAAAGGTGATTGAAAATAAAAGAATGGAGAAAAAAAATGATTGATTGCCTGTAGTATAGAAAAAAGTTATTTTGAATTTTTTTGTTTTAAAAATTCAAAGTTTTTGAATTTTTTTTTTAAAAAACATGTTTGGAGAGACAAACCAAACATGTTCAATATTTACACTCACAACCCTCTTCTCTTCTAAAATCATATAGACACCTCTCTATTCTTTGAAATACACTATTTTCCTTGCTTTAATGTGTAACAACTAGGTCCACCTGTTAGTCAACATCAACATATATAAAACTCCAAATGACAAATTTAGAGTCCGATTGATTTAGATTTGAAAATTAATTTTGTAAGATAGTATTTTGAAAAGAGTTACTATAAATTTAAAAAATTTATTTGGTTGTATATTTTGAAAATAATTTTTAAATGATTTGTAATTTTTTTTTGTAGTTGAATAGATGAGTATAAAAGAAAAATTGAAAATAGTCTCGGAATATCACGTGATCAGACTCCTTTACTCCTGGACTATCGAATAATCACCTGTCCAAGATCTATCAAGCAAATTTTAAAAAATAATTATTAGGTACTCCCAAATCACGTAGTTATACTTTGAAAGTACTCAATAATCACTCAATTTTGGGTGGTCAACATCTATATACATCAATCTCTTTTTATTTTTTCATAATTTTTATTAAATACTCAAACCCTCATTATTATATCGCACATACGTGATACTGGGTTTGCCAAATTGAACCTTGCCAAAGTTTAGGGCTATACAATTGAGGGCCTTCATCTGGTATAATATTTTGCTACATCACTTGATTTGTGAATAGTATGCAAAATAGTATGATGTAGGCATATGGAGTGCCACATCAATATAATATCAATGTGTGTGTGGGTCCCACACCCGTGTGAGAGGTTTGGTAATTTATTTGGTAATTTGTTTGGGGTCTATAGCATTTTCCAATATCAATTGATGTAAACAATGTAGAAATCAAAACCTCGTTGTAGTAAGGTAGGTTTTGCCATGGATGTGTGAACAGTGTGCCATGGATAGTGGAGGGAATGGTAATGTGTATATGGAATTGTTGGGTTTACTTAGGTAAATGATTCTGGTTTTACTGGTAAGATTTAAATAGATGCAAGTATGTCTAGTAAGGTGAAAGTCAATGATTCATATGGTAGTTTTCAATTGAAAGGTTAAAGAGTACAATGGAAAGACAGAATAATATAATTAAAGGGTATTTCAGTAAATTTATTCTGTTATTTAACGGTATTAGCTGACAAAGAACGTTATTGATATTTCAAGAAGAGTAATGTTATGGATATCAAATTTTTTACTAAACAAATGATCAAATAGGTGTGTGGTCCACAATTAATTTGTTTGATAAAAAATTTGGAACGCCTAATATTTTTCCCTGTCAAAATTCTTTAGACCCCCATTTTATAAATTTTTTTTATTATAATTATACCCTAAAGTAAAATTACATTAAAAGACATTATTAAATGGAACACCCACCTATTAATAAGAACTAATACTCTATACTATTAGACACACAACCCCACCCCCACCTCCACCTCCACCTCCACCTCCAACTCCAACTCCAACTATACGTATTCCATATTTGTAAATCCTAAACCTATTACTTTTCATAACCAACTAACATAAACCTTAAATCTATTATTTTTCATAATCATTTTAAATCTTGAATGTGTCATCTTCATTACCATCATCAACGCTATTGAACTTTGTGTGAGTGATTTTCTGACCACACTGCCTGCCTAGTAATCAGCTGGAGAACACCGGCAGAATAGATGGCTTCAGCAAACCTGTAACAGAAATAAAAGGCTCCGGCGGTGGCTCTTCCACTCGGGGGCACTCCGACGATCAAGTCAGAATATCTCTCAAAGATAATCAAGTGCTAAACTCACTACTCAAAGCATAAAACTACGTACCTTAGACCCACGGGGTGCCTCTTTTTTATAGTTTACTCAATCCTAGTCCCACTAGAAGCTTGACTTCTATGGACTTCAATTCTGTACTTACTTTGAATTTCTCAAGAGATAAAGATAAACTCCCTAAGAGTTTTATCCTTATCTTAGCAAAGTCTTCTCTTTACTCTAGGACTCTTGCCTCTTATCCATTATCCGCTTATCTCGGATTCCGATATCTTCGTAGATAACCTCGGCCTCGCCGAGATGACCTCGGCGTCTCAACCAGGACACGTGGCATTTCGGCTGACATGTCGGTGTCACCTTGCCACGTGTTGGTATTCAGAAAATATATCCCCACAACTGCCCCCTAGGTTCTATTACCTCGCATTCTGAGGTGATGGAACCTATATCTGTATTTTCTTCTAGTAAATCGGCTTAAGATTTGACAGCCGAGATCATTCATTTCTGGCTGACATGCTTTTCCTAAAAAATCAAAGATTTTTAAGGAACTTTTTACGCGCATGAATTGTCATGCACTTCAATTCAACCGTTTTAGACACGCGTTTCTTTCTTACTGGCTCGTGCCTGTGACGCGCCCATAAGTCATCTCTTCTTCACATGTGCCATTGACGTATGCACTCTTTTAGGCGTATTGCTTGCTTTTGCCGCCGTTTTCATTTTTTGACAAAATCTTTCCCCCTTTCTTTCGTCTCTTCACTTTTGCATCTGAGTTCTCTTGCTTTTTTCTCTCTCTAAAACTCTTTCTTTCAAATCCGTCATTGCTCAAGCTTCCAAAGCTCTGCATCCTTCTCCGTTCACCCCTTCCGGCGAGATTTCCACCGGTCTTCTGCTCTTGCAACCGTCGTAGGACGTCGGCAAATCCCTTTCCGGCCTCCCTTTTTCTGGTAAGCATCTGTTTCTTTCTATTCCAGTTCTTGATCTTTCCTAGAATTTCTTGTTTACTACTGCTTTACTTAAGTAATCAATTTGTAGATCATACATCTGAATGCGTTGATTTTGTTTTTTGCTTATGCCCTGAATACATGTATTGTTCTTAGTGTTTCTTGCACGTCTTGCTACTGTTTCTTGGCCTTCAACCCTTTGTATTCTTCATGTTCTTGATAGTCCATCTCTGTTCTTGACTCTGAAACTTCGTATTTGTTTTCTGTTTTTTTGTATCTTTTCCAAATCTATACCTTTGATCTTCATCTTCATAGCTTTAGGTTTGGGATTTGTTTGTAGAACCCATAACTTAGGAAAAAACTAAAACCTGCACCTACTTTCACTGTTTGCCGAGGTCCCATCAATAAGAAACATCTTTCTGAATTTCAACCCTTCTAATAGAAGCCGATATCATGAGTATGTGGAGACATAAGGTAGATACCCCGACCAAACTTGAGTGCTTTAGGCAAGAGTTCTCCATCCCTGCCGATGTCCACCTGAGACTGGCTGGGGATGACGACTCCATCATGCCTACAGAAAAATGCCATGCCCCTTCCCATTGTAGCTTTTACTGAGTGTGGACTCCGGTTCCCACTCAACATCCTTTTTTGCGAAATTCTTCATTATTATAAGTTGAACCCCATACAACTGGCAATCAACTCTTATCGAGTGATTTTTGGTATTATCGTTTTAGCTAAACAGGAAAACGTTAGGATCACCTTAGCCGACATATAGTATTGTTACACCATGTGTGCCCTTAACTTGAAAGAAAAAGGCTTTATTTATTATCTTAAGCCGAGGTCTACAGAATTCAAAATCGTAGCCGACCTCCCAGACTCCAACAAGGGGGCTGGAGATGATTATGTTATTGCTTCGGGAAATTAGGAGTTTGGCGCAGACGAGGACGCCCATCTCTACCCTCTTCCCGATCAGTTAAAGAGGGCAAGGGTAAGAGCCCAGTGTCAATACTTAGTTGTTTCTGTTCAAGTCTTCAATATTTTATCTGTTTCTAATGTCTGTTTCTTCTTGCAGACGTTCGCAAGCCAGCGAAAAACTTCC